TTTTTTTTTTTTTTTTTTTTTAATACGAGTTGTTAATCGGTTCGAATCTTGAACCTCACGTAGATCTCGACGAAAGAAAAGTTTTTTTGTACAGGGTACAAACTAGGGACAGATTTAGGTCTATTGGTGCGACTAGGGGTAGATTAGAGTTAGCGATGGTATCGGTACGATTTTATTTTTAATTTTTAATTTCGTACATGATATAGGTACGAATACTTTTCTGATATTTATGCAGTGAATTTTTATTTAGCTACGTGAATGATCAACACTCAACATTGAAAAATAACAATCGTAACCCAATTAAATTCAAATCAGTATTGATGATGATAATTGTCTAATTATAGATAATTAATATTCAATGTTGACACGCTAGATTAAAATTTATTTGCATTATTCTTCGAACAACTGCAAAAGTACACCACGTCAAACTTTATTTAGCACGAGTTTAACAGAGAAAATTGTTAACCAATGAATGCAAGTTAATAAATAAAAACTATTTATTTACTAGCTTTTATATTAAAAATGCTAAATAGATTTTAGTGCTGTATTTGGACAGTCACACGAAAATACTCGTATTAATATCTGATTGATATCGGATTGCTGTTTTAAAATTTATATTGCTGGAGCAAGCTGCGCGTAGATCGTGTTTGCATAGATTTCGTTTGTTTCCATGCCAGAGGAATATATCCGTATTCGCGACATTAATCTCGTGCAAAATGGCCCTTCGATTCAATTTCAAGGAAAACGTTCAATTTCCTTAATCCTTAATACCTTCGAGATAGTAGAACTTTTTCATTTTTGGCCTCTCCTTAATAAAAATTTCATTAACATATTGATGAAATTTTCTTAATTAAAATAAGGCGAAACACGGTGTCGTTATGAAACTTAATGGGCAACATTGATCGGGTTTGCGAGTCTTCTATCGTCGCTCGACGGAATATAAAGAACTTGGAGCGTCAAACAGATATCGGATACTTTCGTGGAAAATTCACCTCTGGCGAGGAATTTTCGATCGAGCGCAAGTATTCGAACGTATATTAAAAAAAAAAGAAAAAAAAAAGAAAAACATTGAGATCTTTGAACTATAAAACGATATAATGTATTTATTTAAATTACATAAAGAGATCAAACTAATTCGCGAGGCGAATCGAACAAATTCTGACTCGATGCGGCGTTAATTTTAACGTCGATTCAAGAAGAATCGGTATCCGCGATTGATATCGAATGTGCCCAAAATTTCGACGCGTATCGATGTCTTCCGGCTGGGTGTTTCGTTATCAAATTGATTGAATATCATCGATCCCAGTTACCACGTAAGCTGACGTAATATACATACGTGTACTTTTTTTTTCCTCACTCTCTTGAACGATCAATTGTTCGCGCGAGGTCAACTCTTACCGCAAGCTCGTTTATTAGCCTAAAATATAACCGCTCGAATCTCTGTTTCTCTCGCTGAAAAAAGAAGAACGGAATTCAATCGTTGAAAGCGTAACAGATGGGGACAGGTCGGGTCTTTGTTTCGAATTCACACGAGAACGTTGCCATTTATCGGAACAATTTACAACGAGCCATGCTCAACGACGAAACATTCCGAAACACGCTAATGAAATTTTTCTCCACCCGTGGAGAACAGGAACGTGCACCCTCACGCGTTCGATCGTATCAAACGATCGGTCCAAGATACACGAAAGTTCCTTCGCCGATGTATCTCATTCACGGAGCTTAATGCGAATCGATGAATCATCGTTACCGGCTGAATGAAATTAATCACCGGCCATTGTTGCTGGCCTGCAGCCTCGCGCCCGATTCACCTACATCCCTTTGTGACTTGCCCTCCGCAGAATCTGCTCGAAACGATGATATACGTGTGCGAATTGCTGACGGAGGAGCCAGAAGGCGGCTCGGCCATGATACCCGCGCGAACCTTCGCCCGCTTGTACGAGTATCTGGCGACGCTCGATTGCAGCGGCGAATCTCCCTATGCGATAATGGACGACGAGACGAAGGAGATTTCTTTCCCTAGCGAACCTTCCACGCTCGATTCGAAATTGTACCTGGTGCCATCCGCCGTGGACGAGGTAAAAGGAGAATTTATTTATCAGGGGTAAAAGAAAAATTTACATTAGAAGTAAATAATGTCGTTTTTTTTTTTTTTTTCAAATTTAATAGACATTGCCATTTAGTGGCAATGATTTAAAAAAGAATAATTTAAAGGAAATAAATTTTGTACAGTGTCGAAAAGAACGACGTTACTTATGGGTATCTCTACGTATTTTCATTCTGGGAATGATTTACACTGGCAATGTTAATGTATTTTATTATTGCGCACGATTTACTTCAAACTTGACACCAGACAGACGCACACGTTCACACATTCATAGAAAATTCAAGCGTGCAGAAATGTGAAGAACGTTCAAAGTAAAGTACACACCTGTTGTAATTAACATCGGACGAGAGCCATATCTTTTGTTACGTCAACAAGAATACGAAATCGGACGAAAGTACGCGGAGTCTGTTTATCACTGGCATTTCACCGCGCTTGAATCGCTCGTTCAATTCATCAAAAAACATAGATACCTTTTTTCTTTTTTCATCACATTCTGTGAAAATCGTGAAAACGTTATTACGCTTTTATCATTTTATACGGGGACGGATGAAAGCAATCTTTGTACCTCCAACGTGTAAAACAGAGTAAATTCGCCTTAATCCTGTTTTTCATCGCGCGGTTCAATTCTCGTTGCGTTGCGCGAGCCATACACCGTTCAACAACGAGGGAAAACGCTACACCTGCGCGTTCTGTGACGTGTCCAGCGGACAATTTCCAGTTCGGTCGGAGGATTATTGACTGTGGTCCAGTCTGGTGGCTCATTCGGCGACGAGAGCGGCCGAAATAATGTTTTTTTTTTTTTCTCCCCTCCAATGGAACGGAAAAGTTTACGCGAGAGCGTGCAACCGGACGAGTTGGCGAACTCTCGAAACTGGCGAGCACTCTCTCGCCGATGGCCAAATATAATTTCGTTAATAACAGACCGATGCGGATGAAGTCGGTGCCGCGGATCGAGAAAGCCGGACCGCCGGGAAATAATTACTTGATGTGTCGAGCCGGGTGTTTACAACGCGTTTCAGCGCCCAATGCCTGGCGCAAATTTGCAGAATGTCGTTCCGATTGTAGCATAGTTTAGCGGAAGCTCTCTCCCACCCCTCCCCCGCGTCGAGTTTTCCGCGGCCGTGAGTTGAGTCAACTCAGTCGGAATCAATCGATCGAGTCCGGAGGGCACGGGATATCGACACATGCACAATTAACCCTCTCGCTACCGTGAACGAGACATCTCGTTCGCGATTATGTTAATTGGCCAGCGACGAGTTTTGTGCCACTCTGCGCACACTGCATGAAAACTCTCTTGTTTTTAATCGTTTAATGTTCAACAGATGTCGCCGTAGATAATACAATTTTTAAATTGGATAGGACTCTTTTTCAACTATGAATATTTTAAATGGAAGTGGTGATACGTTGATTTGAATTCTTCAATCATATCGAAATGGTAGAATATATAGATGGTATCGATTGGTACGAATAAAACGAGAAGAATAATTCAAGATGGATGAGGAGTTATTTGAGTGACTTTTAGGAGTATTTGTTTCATATTGGGATTTTAGAACGATTGATACGTGCGACGCGCTCAAAAGTTTCTAAGAATTCCGTGAAACATTAAGTATTCATTATATTCTTGTTTCAATTCTGATTTGACAGATTATTAATAAAGGAAGGAAGAATCGAGAAAGAATTGAATGACCAACTGTCATGTATTTCATGTATGCGATCGTGTTAATATGTTAACAATTCAAAGATTTTATTATTGTATAAAGCACCTCTTATTTTAAAACTATATAGTATAAGAATATGAAACTATATTTCATAAGAATTTTGAACGAAGGGTTATATGTATCCATAAAAATATTTTACGCCCATCCTCTTCCGTATTTGCAACTAAATTAAAATCTTTATTTACTTATTCGGAATAAAATTCCTTCGACCTGCAAAGAAAATGTTAGCTTCAGCTTCTTAGTTTTCAAGCATCTAATTTTGGTTTCAAACGAATAATTTCACTACAACTTCTGTACATGTCATATTTCCAATTTTCCAAGGAAGATAGAGCGTGTCTGAATTAAAAAAAAAAAAAAAAAGAAAAGAATAAAAATGTGAGAAAGACCCGAGAGGAACAATAGAGTTAATCAGTCAAAGGAACGCCATATTGTTTAGCATTAATTTTAACGTTCGTGGTAGTTAGTTAGTTTACATTAATATAACGCTCTGTTCCGCTCTTAGTTTTAAACTGCAATTTTCGCGGACCAGCTTGGCGCGTGTAGCAACCGTAGCTAAACGATTAAAACGCCGTAAATTATTAACGATAGCGACAGCGGTGATATTAACGCTGATACAGAAGTTTACATGAGTAATGACGACGTCCCATTGTCCTGAGTAATGAAATAACTCAACGTAATGTCAACATAAAGCGATATTGTGAATAAACGGGGTGCAGGATTCGTCGACGCGAGTCGACATTGTCAAGCGAGGTGTCTCATCTCCCTTGCGTTACATGTTGCGCGGGTTAACAGCCTTCGCCAACTGTATCTTTCATCTTCATTTTCTGCTG